ACATACCATGGTAGTTAAAATGACAAATCAGTGTTACTAGTGAGTGATGTGCTAGGGTTCAGGGAGACCGAGAGAAGTTATACATGCTGGAATAATTGGGGGAGGTCTTAAAATAAATAAATACATGTTTCCTCCTCACCCACGATTGGCCAAAGATACCATTTTATGAGGAAAATATAACTACTCCTATATTAAAGATTAGAACAGTTACCAAGAAGACCTATTTTCCTTAGGTAGTTAAGTAACAAGCCAAGAATGCCTCCCACCCCCACACCCTGCCTCAGTCCTGCACTCTTCACTTCTTGGAAATGGCAAGATGCTAATGGCTAGGTAGGAACAAGGTATTGAGAAGAGAGAAGTGTTGAGGAAGGAGAAGGCTGTCTCAGGTGTGATGACCCACAGGGCGTTGGTGGCCACCATAATTTTTCTTTCACATTTTTCCCTTTAGTAAGACATTAGAGATGAGATGATTGGGAAGGATAACATCTTTCTTCTTCTGTTCTCCAGGGTACTAATTTAAGAGAAGTATGACCTGAGGGATTCTCAGGGTAAGAATCCTTAGATAACAATTTTATGACTTTCTGTCTCCAGTAGTTTAGAAAGTCCAGTCCACGGGTCTTATAAAACTTCATTTTCTTGTTGAACTTCATTCTGGTCTCTTTCGGATAGTGGGGAACATTATAGAAGAAGATGTTACACCACTGTTCTGCCCTTTCTGTTTTGTTCTTTGAAGTGACCTCGACTTCATTCGGTAAGTGATCAGTTTACACTAGCAACAGTTGGCTAGTTAGTCCAATTGAACTGTATGGTGTAACTTTCACTCATTCGGTATCAGGTTTTGAATGTGGAGACAACAAAAGTTCTCTTTTGCTGTATAGGTTCTGCCTATACGTGACTACATTTTTGTTTATACATTTGCTTTTAATGTAACAACTGTGCTTAGTATCAGGCTGCTTATTCCACACCTTGTTTATTCTCAGCAATCAAGTTGATTTTCTTTTTTTTAGATTTATTTATTTATTTATTTATTTATTTATACAAGCACTGGGTACAGTCAGAAGCGCAGGAGGGTGAGAGAATTCACCAGAGTCAGAGCAGGGAACAGAACAGGCAGACCGATGAAATACACTGCTGAGGGGAGCAGCGGGCGCAGCAGGAGAGGTCTGCGTGCCATGTGAGACCCTCACCCGGCATCTGGGGATCCAACCAGCGCTGCAGAGGCTGCCAGCAGCTTCGCAACCCAGCACTCAATCGCTGTGCCCCGGGGAGGCCCGATTTTCTTTTATTTAAAGAAAGGCTTTCAGGTGAAAGTTTTTGGAAAGCTTAGATTGCACATTAGAGTTCAACAGCTGAAAATATACTTGGGACCACACAGTCCAAAGATATAACAAGCTTGAAGGTCATCCAATATCACAGGAAGAATGTTTGAAAGACATGAGAAATTTTAATTCCTAACAAAGTGCCAAAAGAAACTATTAAGGAATTCTAGTTGTTGGAACAGGAAGTAGGAGTTGTGTTCAAAATCTTTAATAGTGATTTAGTAGTTTTCTTTTGAAAACCGGCAAAAGGTCATTAGTTAAATAGTTGACTTGGATAATGGAATAGCCAATAAGCATAATTCAGGATCAAGATACTGTAACTTTATAATCTTTGGATTAAAAAATAGTTTGCCTGTTGTGATGCAGTCTCTGAAAGTTTTACCAGGAAAATGGAAGAGTCTAAAAAGGAAAACTTACCAAGAAAATAACTTTTAAAACAGGCATCAAATTCTCAGTTCCCTATATATTCAAAAACAGAATTTCCAATGGCCTATTTTAATGGAAATTTTATGATTTTACTTGACACTTCTTGAGCCTTTTATGACAGTAACATGTTGCTTTTGCTTTTAAGATACCACTAATGTGCCCTAAAAATACTTTAAAATGCCAAAAGAAAAGAAGAGAAAGAAATTGAGAGACTAGTAGCACTGACTGCAGGGAAATACAAGAAGCAGAATAATGATTCACTCAGATAACAGGAGAAACGAGTAGATTGACGGAAAAGAAGTAGGGCTTTGCCAGGCCATAGGCTGGCTACAGTTTTCAAGAGACAAAAGAGATCCACAAGTACAGTGCATCAAAAATAATGTAAATACGTATAGAAGTTTTAAAATGCAAACAAATTTACAATTTCAATAAGACTTATACATTATCTGAATTGTTGTGTATTCAGATTAACTTACTATCATGATTAATAAATAAAAGCAGTGACTAGTGTCTGGAAGGAAATGAAGCATATTCATATACACAGGAAGGGACTTTGTATCGGCAGAGGTGAAACTTTCAGGTGGAAGAAATTTTTGGAATGTCAAAATGCGGATTTCCGGCCCCTTTCCCAGAGATTCTGACCTAGCAGTTCTAAGGGTTTCTCAATCTTAGCACTATTGACATTTTTGAGGGATCATCCTTTGTAGGAGGGATTGTTCAGTGCTTTGTAGGATGGTTAACTGCCTTTCAGGTCTGCTAGATACTGTGGCACCCCTCCCCCAGGCCCATCCCCAGATATTGCCCAAATGTCCCCTGGGGGCAAAAATCACTCCTGTCCTTCAAGAATAACTAATCTAGGGGGAAGCCCTAGATTCTAATGGAATCCAGGTGATTCTGACTAATGTGGTCAGTAGACTAAACTTGAGGAACACTGAACTAAAGTGTTATGAGCTGAATTATGCCCCTTTCAAAATTCATATGTTAAAAGTCTTACTTAACCCTCAATACCTCAAACCCTGAGTATTTGGAAATAGCCATGACAGATTTCCTTAAGATGTTATCACACTGGATTACTCTAGGCCGCTAATCCAAGATGACTGGCATTCTTATATAAAGGGAAATTCTGGACACAGGCACACAGGGAGAATCCCATGTAAAGATTGGAACTAGCAAAAGTCAAGAGAAAAAACAGGTCTTCCCCAGGGCCTACAAAGAGTGCAAGATATCTTGATCTCCTACTTCTACCCTCCAGAGTATCAGACAATCATTTTTTTGTTGTTTAAGCTACTCAATTTGTGGTGCTTTGTTAAAGTAGTGCTACTATACTAACAGGTAAAGAATAAAACACAGGTCAGTTTAGGACTGGGACAACATTAGAAGCAAAATTGGAAAGCAAAATGAAATGATGGCAGATTGGCACCAACCCCTACTTTATCTTTCTCAGTGCCTGACATTAAATAGGGACCCAATATATCTTGTCTAAATTAAATATTAAGAGCAAAATCTTACAATTTGTTACTTTATAAGATTGCAATTGCCCACCACTGCACTTTCAAGTTTTCATCTGGATTATATAACAATTTGATAGATTTACAGCTGGAGTTATGAAAATGAATGGAATGCATGAGCTATGCCATTATTCATAGAGAATATGTAGATATGAAATTCCATACCAGGCAAAAACATTGACTGATCACACTGTAGCTTTAAGAAAAGCGTTGACTGTTTCAGGTCACAAAGACACTATTTAGAGCACAGCAAGTAGGACTATGTTCACCCACAGTCACGTGCCAGTCTGAAGTGGACAGTTTCTACCCTTTCCCTGGAAGGATGAAGTCCATGGTATTAAAAGAACTTAAGAGATAATGTGCTCTAATAGTTTCATGAAATATTTGCTGTTATTAACAGAAGACAAAAACAAAAGTCCAGTGGCAAATGTCACTTCTTTGAGAGACAATTTTTCCCTTAGGAAAGATAAAAGGATGATATTGATATCTTAGCTCCTGTTCCTACCACAATTGAATTTAACAAAAAAAGGGAAACAAGTCCCCTTGCCTCAAGATTATAGGATAAAAATGTGTAAAGTTTGTATTGTAGATGAAGGTCCTCTAAACTTAACTTTCCTTCTCTATAAGCATAAAGTAGTCAATGACAAAGAATGGTAGGAAGCATGGAAAAAAGCCTTTTAGAAATGTCTACAAACTCAGCTGAGTGATTAAATACAAACAAGGTTAGGCCCAGACAACCTAAGTGCCCTTTCCAAATCAGGATAAGCTAACAAGACATTAACGTAACCTGGAAGCCTGGTGCCAGCTTGGGAACGCATTGACCTCACTAACTCCCTCTCCTCAAACGTAGGAAACGTTCCAGCACGCCCGAGTCACATGAAGTTGCTGTAAGCCAGCACACACCACGTTGAACCTGACAGGTGTGCCTCCCAGGGCTGGGGGCTGGGTGGGTAATGAAGTCAAAGGCCCTAGAAGGCTGCGTAGGGACTACCAATTCTCAAAGCCGTTTTCTTTTTTGAAAGAGGGCAAGGTCGCTAAGAACTGAGAGGAACACTGCATTCACATAAAATCTGGGGAGAAACAGTCTAAGTTAACAGGTTTCCGTGAACACTGATAGACGAAGCCTTTTCTGACCTCTCCTTTGCGTTTTTGAATTCTGGAACCCTCTCTCTCCTCTCCAATCTCCCAAGCCTCCCCCACATAAGCTAAGGTGGTCGCCGACCAAGGACTCAAGGTCCACAGGGTCAGCCCCCCCGGTCTGGGGCGGCTGCCAGGCTGCCTGTCGACGCCAAGTACCTAATCTCCCACATCTGATCTCGCCAGCCCTAAGCCGCCTAGGGAGGCGGCTGGAGGGAACCAGTTCCAGAACGGTGTGAACTGGGAGGGTGCGGGGCGAGGGGAGGCGGGACAACCGCCTCACGGTGAGGAGCCCCGAGCCGCGCGGAGCCGGGCGCCCGGGATCACCTTGCGCTGACCTAGTTGAGCCGGGCGGAGAGGAACCGAGGGACGCGGGAGGGAAGTGGGCGGGGCGGGGCCGCGGGAGGGGCGGGGCCGCGGCCGCGCGCGTCTCTTTCCTGCGCTCGCCTGTGATTCGCCGACGCAGCCGAGTCGGAAGCGTCCGGGAGGCGTGGGCGGCGGCGGCGACGGCGCACGTGGTGACGTGCAGGGGGTGCGGCGGCGCGGGAGGCGGCGGCGGCAGTGTGTCCCGGGTGCGCGTGGAGGTCGGTTGCTGGCTCGCTCGCGCGCGCGGAGCTGCGGGGTTCGCTCTCTCGGCTGCTGCTCCGGCGCGGCTGCGCAACGAGGAGTCACCGCGAACTCGGCGGCGCTCGCCTTCCCCGCAGCCTCCGCGAGTGACCGCTCGGGTCGCCACCCCCTCCGCGGCCTCGAGACGCTTTCAGTTGGGCCGGTCCCCGCCCGCTTCCTCCTGCTCCCCGTCGAAGCTCCGGAGATGAGTTTTTCCGTCTCTTCAGAGATGAACCAGGTAGGACACGCCGGTCTCGCGGGCCGCGAAGGGGGATGAGGCAGCGGCCGGACTCCGAGGCGAGGGGGCGGCGCGGAGCGGGTCGGGGCACGGCGCGGAGTCCCGGCCCGGAATAGGGCGCCCCGGCGACACCGCTCGCGGGAGATCGGGGCCGCCGCCGCCGCTCTGGGAGGGCCGGAAGCGGGCCCTGCGTTCCCGCGCTGCCCTGGTTGCCAGGTCGCGTTGGCAGCCGAGCGCGGTTGCCGGCTCCCTCCTCTCCCTGGCGGCGGGACGCGGGGGTGAGGAACGGGAAGTTTGCTGGAGAAGACCCCGGGGGCCCGGGGTGCGGGGGCCCCGCGGGAAGGAGGTGCGGGCGTCGGTTCCCGCTGTCAGGGGCCGCGCCCGGAGTGCAGCCCGCCCAGGGTCGGGACTGGACTCTGACTACCCGCTTTTGACTACCCGGAGCTGGCGCTGCGGGCTGGGCGCCGGTCTCCGGCCTCGCCGCGCCCGGGCCGGCGTGGGCGCACCGCGTCCCTCAGCCCTGGGGGCCCCGGGTCCTTTGTTCCTGCTCCACGTTGCGCGCTCTTCTTGCCAAGCGCGGGGAGTGGAGGCGGGAGGAGGGCGCGGCGGTCCTGCTGTGACGGCGCTGAGTGACTGCGGGCCCGGCCAATCCCGAGCGGGAGATGTGCGGGCGCCTCGACCCTCGCGGGCTGCGGTGGGGCGCCGGCGGGGCGGCGGTGGAGGGAGCCCGGGGGGAGGGGTTGGGGGAGAGGGCTGGGGGCTGCCCTGACGCTGTCTCTGGGGCGCAGGCAACTTTCTTATTCACAAAAGAAATGGCTAGACCATTGCCCTTTTCCAGCCCTGCGCAAGCATAGAGCCTCTGATGATAAACCTTTAGTGGTAGGGCGACGTTAGGCATTATTAGATGAGGGTTGAATGGAAGGAAACTTGAACCCCCAAGTCCTTTAGGTTTAGATTGAATGTGTATTTTTCCAATACGTGGTAGACAGACTCATTGTTTGAGACAGCTGACATTTCAAAAGATAGCAGATGTCTAAAGGGCGCGTTTGGTTTTCAGTGATGGGGGATTAGAACACCCTAGCTTCAAACTGTTCTTTGAGGATTTGTGTGTGATAATCGTCCGGTAGTAATAAATGACGTGCTACTAAACGTCTTGTAGTAAATGACAATTCGGAAAACCTACCTCTACTTTAAACAGTTGAACAAGTACACCATAATTCATTTTAATAATCCTAGCGCCCGCTTGATTTAAGGATAACTAAATGCTGATGAATAGCTTTTGGCATAATCCTGTTAAAACTTCTGTCTTGAAAATGCTGGAGGAGCACTAGTAATAGTATATCTGGACATGAGGCAAACACTGACTTTTTAGAATTGGATAGAGAATAGTATCATTTAATGCCAGCTGGCGGGCTACTGCTTATCAGATGTCTATAATTTGGTAGCTGGAAATAAAACCACTGACCAGAGAGAGACCTGGAAAGGATTTCCTCTGAATTTTCCTAATAGATGAAGTCTCTATAGTTAATTAATAGATATTAATTTCTTGATTTATCTTAATTTGTAGTTGTTTTTCTAAATTTTGCCCCCAAAATACAGGAGTTCAGGTTTTGGTTTTAGTTTTAGTGTCTTTTGGGCTACATTGGAGTGGGATTTTGTTTTTCCTGCATGTGGTTTTTGCAAATAAGTGTATTTTAATGGAAAATGTTTTCTCGTTCTGGGATTGTCTCAATCATTGATATTAAGGTAAAATACCCCTAAAAGTCATTTCGTTGACCTGTCAGCAGTATGTGTATCAAATCTTAAAAGGAGTTCTTAAAGTTTGGTCTCCGACTAGGTTGTGCCAGGGTGTAAGTAAAGTAATTATGAAGGGGTGATTTTAGATTTTTGTTAAAAAAAAAAAACAAAACAACACGAAAAATCATGCTCACTTTATTTGTAAACTTAAATTGCCACCTTGAAAATGATTCCTAAACCAGTATGTTAATCAGTGTCCTTACACTTTTGCTATCAACCTGGATGCCCAACTGGTATCTCAACATTATAATGTCCCAAAGCAAATTCCTTTTATCCTTCCCTAACTTTCAACATGCAACAAAACTGTTGCAGAAAACTGTGTTTTCTTAGCATTCTAATTTGATGTTGATTTTCACATAGCTAAGTGAAAATATCCTTACTGCCTTAGTTAGGATAGGCATAGGTATATAGTTTAATTTACTTTCTTACATGTTTTACCCATTATCCCAAATAATTATGCTACAATGTCTTGATTCTGCTTGCTAAAATCCTTACTGTTTTATATCATTGTTTAAACCTTAGCATTGTTCTCTCATTATTTCCTTTCCCATTATTAAGTATATGCATCCTGCAAACTACAACCTGTTGAAATAAATAGCTGCAGTTTCTGGAATATGTGTTCTATCTTTTTCCTCCTCTTGTTTGATTAATTAAAACCTTGTTTCCCTGGTTGTCTTTCTGGTTGATCTCTGCTTAGTGTTGAAGACAGGAGTGGCCTTGACTCTTGTGTTATGAGCATCCCATTCCAGATTGTTTCTGTCATATATTTGGTGCTGTAAATGTTTGTGGAATTACAGAACAATGAGATTAAAAGTTTAGAGCAAGTGAGTGAGTTTGAGTTTTGATATAGATAGATTGTAGTGGTAGTTTTGCAGGTGAAGCCGGGAATCTTAACTTCTGGTTCTAAAAAGATTCATTGTTTTACTTTATATTATTATAAGGTCTACTTCAAAATGGATTTAATATTTTGGAGTTGACTACCCTCAGAAGATTACCTTGATGTTTAAATATTACCTATAATTTGCCTTGAGGTTTTAAGCATACTTTAAAATTTTGATAAGGTTTTTATCTTGCTCTTTCTGAAGTCCCCAGAGGAGAATTTGGGAAGAGGTCATGTTGTGCCTACCTTTTTTGCAATTCTTTGATAATACCTGTTGAATTGCATATTAGTTAAACTAATCTTTTTGGGTCCTGTGGTAACCTAAAATCTTCTGGGTGTTGCTAAAGAAGTTAAATTTCTCAGGAATCTTGTCTCCCTCTTCTTGCACTGGCCATATTAAGAAGCTGTGACACTCATTTACCAGAGCATATTGTTTTTCACCCAAGTTTTAATTTTAAAAATTGACCGATGTATATTTTGAATAATATTCAAAACAATTTTACTCACTGGACTAAAACTGTGGAATGTTGGGGATTTTGTTCTTTTCAGAGAAAAAAGTTCTCCCCACTTTTTCACTCAGTTGTTGAGCTTCAGCTTAATAGATCAAACAGATCCATGCCTTTTTGGAATAGTTCAAAGGATTTGCCCAACCTTGCTTTAGTGGAAGTGAATGAACTTTTCAAAGACATGGTTTTGCAAGCAGGAGTTTATAAAATCTCTTAAGTTGAGGGTGGGTGAGAATAAGGAATAGTAGTATATTAGATAAAATAAATTTGCTGCATTACCTCACATGTCACCTGGCCTTTGACTAGCTTTTAAAATCAAGTCAGAATATAGTCATCAGTAGACATTAGGAGATGAAGTTCATATTATTAAAACCCTAATGTAGTAAATGTAGAACTCAACTTTATTACAAAATGAATGTTATTGTACAAATTGGTATGCCAAGAGTTACTCTAGAAATTCTCCGATAATTTCTCTCAGAGAAATGAATTGATTTTAACCAATTTTTCCCCTCACAATAAGGGTAGAAATTTCAGTTTGTCAAATGTAAGTAAGATGCTATTTTCATTCTTGGTTAGATGAAGACTAATTTTTAAATAAGTACTGAATAAAACTGATCACAGTTTAAAATAAAATAGTTCTAAATACCATACAGTGTTTTTAGTTTTTCAGAGGTCACTCTAATCGTATCAAAATAATTTGAGGATTCCCCTCTCCACCCCTTAGCCTTGCTTTAAGAGGTACTGATAAATCTGAAGTGAGGAGTTAACCAATTGTGTCAGTGAATTGGTCACCACAGTATATACCATAAATACAAAGTTGTTTAATATGAGCTAGGTTTTGGCTGAACATCTTTATAGGTTTCTTTAGGGTGGTGTGTTTTTTTGTCTCTCGGAAAACATCTGTTAAAACTGATTTTTTAAAAGCTGAATTGACTAATCTAGATGAAAATACATAAAGCAGAGGAAATCGGTGTTACATAACGGTAAAATATAATTTTATTTCAGGGGTAGCCATGGACAGCAGTACTAGCCTAGTCAGAATGCTCTGGTTTCTTTGAAACAAGTCCTAAATTGTGGAAACCAATGAGGGAATATGGGATACAGCTTTCACAACATGTGCAGGTGTTGAACTTGACACAGTAGGTTTCTTGAATTAGAACAGGACTTGCGGATTCTGGGCTAAGTGGATTATTATCCTTGACAATTGTTAGCTTTAGAATTGTGGGTTTGATAGGTAAAACCAAGTGATGTTAAGATGTCCATTTTTAAAAGTATGCATTATCTTTTAAATAATTTCCTATTTAATTTTGGTTTCCTGAATTAGACAGTGGTGTAATAGCAATACAGGTGATAAAAAAATACCTTCTGAGGTGATGACAAAAAATACCATCTGAGTGAATTGAGTGGGGGAAAGAGTAGGTAGGAGAGCTACCTTGAACCATAATTATTTATTGCATTGGTATTTTTATTACTGTGTATGAGAAAAGTGACTCTACAAAGCATAGGCATCAATATTTTGCCTTTTGTTGATTTAGTTCATTTCAACAAATTACTCGTCTTTGTATTTCAAGCTTCTTGGTTAGTGGTATTGGTAGGGAAGACATGGAATGGATTCAAAAAGGGAATAAGACAGAGGCTTTGCCTTTAGGGTACTTTGAATAAAGGAAGATAAAGCAGGTACACAGAAACACAGCCCAGAACACACCAGCTGGAAGTTCATACATAACTTGTAGAGGGGGTTCAGTATGTGGAGATGACAGGGGAAACTACTTCTCAATTGGGGGGATTTGGTAGGGACGCTGAAGGTAAAATTCGTCTGGCAGAGATTAGGTTAAGGGTATTCCAAGAAGAGAGAACAACTTGAACAGAGGGACAGAACTGGGAAGTGCTGAGCACTTTTGGGAACAGTTTATCTGGTTTAACTGTAACACTGTATATATTTCTGGGCATAATGCCCAAAGTAACCCAAAGGTTGCTGGCTGGTGAAAACAGATCATATGTTTGCATATTTGTTGCAGTCTGATAGTAAGGACTTATAGGTAACCAATGTTTATACTTGTTCTCTAATGTTGGTTAGTGTATCTCACTTAAAGGATGACAGTTGTTAGCTACAGTCCCGTGGGAGGATTTTATTTTGGGGGGGGGAAATCATCTGAGTAGTTGCAGGTTAAATGAAAAATGGTCATGTGTAATTGCATTTGTGTTAGTATTTTCTCTATTTTTACTAAAGATTAGGGCTTTGCTTGATCTGGTTGATTATTCTGGATATCTAACTAAAATTTGCCATTTTTACAGATTATGGTGCATGATTATCACAGAAGAAATTCATGTCTATAGCTTTTAAGGACTTGATTACATCATTTTCAAGCCTGATAGTTTTGGAATCACCATTAGAGCTTAAGACACCTCTGCCTTCACTTCAGCCACCTTTCTTCATACCTCAACGAAGTGCTGATTTTTAACACTCCTTTGTCTTTGGATTATTTAAGACGTCCCAGAGATATATTTCTTACCAGTAAAGTAAGTAAATATTCAGTGCCCGGTGCAACATTAAGAAACATTGTTTTTTCTAAAGTCTATGCTGATGAGTACAGTGACATCCTTTCATAATTTTTTAAAAGGCAGAGAGTCAGTAGTCATTTGTAGGGGAAAAAAAACATTTTCCCAATTTTCTCCTTTCCATAAACTATTTGAGTTTAAATAAGTCATTTCAGGCTGAAATTTATTACTGCTTTTTAATGATACATTTTGTATAGCTTTTAGTTCACAAGTAAAGGTGAAATAAAAATTATAGGAAAATAAGTTTCCTGTAATTTTATGAGATAAATTATTCAGGATATATGCAACTCACAAAACAATTTAATACACTTAGGTATTAATTTTTCTTGCTTATGGGTAAAGGAATGACAGTCATCCAACTCCTATGATCACATTGTTCTAGGCTTTTAGGTTGTTACTTGTATGGGTTTGGGCAGGGCTGACAGGTGTGTAGACCCGGCCAGACTTTTGAGTTACTGCTACTGTATGAATCCTTACAAAGACTTAAGGCCAAAGAAAGACTTTGTACATTTGGAACCAGTGTTGTTTCCGTAGTGTTCTTATGTGGTGGTAGGTTGGAATTTGAAAATAAAGATACTCTATTACTCTTTAAGGTATTATCACCATTCACAAGTAAAATAACTCATTTTCTTTCTTTCTGACCTTTAGCTAAATTTGTAAGGAAAAATGATTCCCAACGGATATTTAATGTTTGAAGATGAAAATTTCATTGAATCTTCTGTTGCCAAATTAAATGCTCTGAGGAAAAGTGGCCAGTTTTGCGATGTTCGGCTTCAGGTATTTAAACTTCAGTTGGAAACTTACAGAATCGGTATTTTATTACTAAAACCCATAAGTTCTTGGATTTGCTTATTTTTTTTTCATAGATTTAATAAAATTTTTTTGAAAAATGATTTACCTTTAAATGTAAAATAAAGGGCCTGATGTAGTAATTAGCTAGAGAAATACATAGTCATAGTCCACAGTATTTCTAATTTTAATTATTCATAATTTCAGGTCTGTGGCCATGAGATGTTAGCACACAGAGCAGTCCTGGCTTGCTGTAGTCCCTATTTATTTGAAATCTTTAATAGTGATAGCGATCCCCATGGAGTTTCTCATGTTAAGTTTGATGATCTCAACCCAGAAGCTGTTGAAGTCTTGTTGAATTATGCCTACACTGCTCAGTAAGTGCTTTGAAGTTAATCATATAACCAGGGAATGTTACCGGGGAATTCTAAGTCTCTAAATTTTTTAAAATTAAGTATGTGTTTAAGACCTTGGTATCATAAATGATAAATAACTTTTTTTTTAATAGGTTGAAAGCTGATAAGGAATTGGTAAAAGATGTTTACTCTGCAGCAAAAAAACTGAAGATGGATCGAGTAAAGCAGGTAAAGTACCAGTTGTAGTCTATAAGGAATGCTGTTAGTGGGAAGTCTTTCTTTATTTCAGAATGTATAACCTACCATAGGACATTGCTAAGTCTCAAAAATTTGAAAATAGCCCTTTTTCCCTAGAGAAGTGAATATTAACTGTTTAACTGTAGTTTTGTAGCAAAATCATACTTCTGGTAACTTGGATTAGTCTTTCTTTTCCACTGGTCTTCGCTGGCAGGGTGGTTGTCCTGATAGCATGAACTAAAATATTCCTGTTTTCTCAAGAGTCAGTTATATAACTTATATTATCAATTCTTTCATTCTGTACTTTTGGTTCCTCTTGGTACCACCACTGAGAAGTGCTTAATAAGCAAAGCATTTAATCTTCTAATGCCAGGGTCAGTAAATTTCAAGCCTCAGGCAGCTGCCTGTTTATATAAAGTTTTCTTAAGGAACACAGATTTCATTTCCATTTGATTAATAGCTGCTTTCCAACTATAGTGACAGTTGGCTGGTGACACCAACGGTAGGGCTCACAAGCCTGAAATCCTATCTGGCCTTCTATGAAAATGTTTGCTGGCATCTCCTCTACCTAATAATCCTTGGATGGCTTATAGCACATGTCTCTCAAGTTAACTTTCTTAGCTTCTCCCTAATGTAGTTGCTATTTTTCAGAAATTATTTCCTAATTATCTTCTTTTCAAATGCTCTAGCCAAAATAAATTGTTTGCTGTTATCTTTCCTGCTTCCTCTCTGCTTTCAACATCATTCTTTCTCTAATAGAGATCTATTCTGACATTGCCTTTACGAACCTTTATCTAATTTTTCTAGTTGAAAATACTTGTCTGAACACATCACATGCACTATCAAAGCATTTCAGTTTATTGCATCTTTCCTGAAATAGCTTACGCATTTGTATGGCATCTTTAGGTGGTTTTCGTTTGCATACATATGTTATTCCCACTGTAAAATTGTTCTACTAAGCAGTGGTTTTTTGATTCGTTATTTTATCTTCTCACAGTACTTTCCCATTTTGCATCAAGTTTTTGTTAAATAAAATTTATGTAAATGCTGGCACTTGTGTATTTCTTTTCCAAGGTTTGTGGCGATTATTTACTATCTAGAATGGATGTTACCAGCTGCATCTCTTACCGGAATTTTGCAAGTTGTATGGGAGACTTCCGTTTGTTGAATAAGGTTGATGCTTATATTCAGGAGCATTTGTTACAAATTTCAGAAGAGGAAGAGTTTCTTAAGCTTCCACGGCTAAAGGTAAGGAGTAAAATCTAAACGAAATAGTTACTACTTAGTTCCAGGCATGGAATCTTTGTCCATATTTCAAGAGACTGAGTAATGGTAATGAAAAATAGTACTGGAATGCAGTGAAACTGTTTTTTGTAGAAGTGTGAGTGATCTGCCCAGGAGTTACATGTTCTTTGTTTTATGGCTACTGGCTCCCTTACAAATAAAAATAAGTGCATAGACTGCAATTGGACATCTGACAGCTTTATTGAAAAGTTGAGAATTAAAGTGAAAATTAGAGACTCAACACTGACCCCCGTGTCACTGTTTTTCTGCAACTAGTTGGAGGTCCTGCTTGAAGATAATGTCTGCTTGCCCAGCAATGGCAAAGTGTACACAAAGGTAATCGACTGGGTGCAGCGGAGCATCTGGGAGAATGGAGGCAGTCTGGAGGAGCTGATGGAAGAGGTGAGTTCTAAAGTAAATGGGATTCAACAATTCTTAAAAATTATTTTGCTGTAACATGAAGGATTCCCTTTCACTTTTATTTTATAACCATGACCCTAAAGAATTTAAATTTTGCTATAGGTACCCCTAAGCTGAGAAACAGGGGGGGTGTCCAGGTGAGCTGAATGAACTGTTCAGTTTGGTCTTCTGCTTTTCTTTTTTTTTCTTTTTTTTAATTTCCTTGCTTATTATGTGCTGTTAACTTTCTTTAAAGTAGCATGTAATTTGCTTTAGAAATGGGAGGTGGTACTGAAATTTTCTGTAGATTCTTAATTTTTCTTCACAGGTTTTTGCTTTAAATGTGACAAGTAGGTAAAAGCTTCTAATGGTTGTTCCTCCCCATTGATTTATCTCCCCATAGGTTTATTAACAAAACTAGGATACCCAAGACTGAAGAAACAAGAAGAAACCTCAAGTGTATTGACACGTAAAGAAGCAGCAGTCCTGCCCCAGTTCTCCTAAGAAAAATCCGCTGTGGGCAGAGAACGATGATGATTTAATGGTGTTTACTCCTTTACAGGATTCTTATCTTTAAAGCTTTGTGTTTTTCAATGGTGTTGTTCATACATATAGTCACTTGGGCTACTTTTTAAAACTACACAAGAGAAAATCAATGGAGAAATAGTGGGACCCAAATGTGCAGATGCAGCGGTTAGAGTGACCTTGAGTTCACTCCACTTACGCCGTTCATATTCACTAACAGTTGGCCACATTGAGTAGGCCTTTAAAAATATTGTTACCATGTTTTGGAAAGGCTAACAGTTGATCTTTAAGTTTTCTGTAGTTTCCCACTTGAAAATCAGATGCATTTGGCCATGTACTGCATCTGGTAAGGGAGGTCTCACTACAGTGTGTTTGCATTTTTGCGTTTGTTTCTTATCTGCTTATCTTAACATTGCATACAGGATAGAAATATGTTTATGCAAATCAGATTCCTTCACTGGTGTAAACCTTGTTCAGTATTTTATTGTAAATATGTATATTCTCTCAGAGCCTATCTATTGTACTAGTGCCTTTTTTCTTAATGCTATTATAATTGAAACGATGAAAAAAATGAAGATTTCTTTCAAGCCTTTCAAGCCAAGGACTGACTCTTCAGCCAGTATTAGAAGATTTTGTATTTTATTTTTGTTTTTTAAATTTTTACAACCATGACATATATTTTTCTTTACTTCGGGATCCTGCCAGAGTAAGAGGTTCAAGAAGCTCAAGCAGCACACTGGAGGTTACCTTGAGGCGTTTGTGTGATCTGCATAATAGTGGAGTAGCCATGGAGACAGTAGCCACATGGGTGTTCTGTTGCTGTTTTTCAGGTTCAAACCTTGTACTACTCAGCTGATCACAAGCTGCTTGATGGGAACCTACTAGATGGACAGGCTGAGGTGTTTGGCAGTGATGATGACCACATTCAGTTTGTGCAGGTACACATTGCACATCTGAGGTAACCTCAGGTTAAAATTTGATTAGAGCATTTTATAGTATATTGAAATTTTCCTTTAATAAAGGAAAGTAGAAGAATATTGGTATAACTGGACATAAACATTTTTGGGAGGAAACAAACATTATTACTCAACAAATTAGGAAACACTTGTTTAGATTTTTTTTCCCTCAGTAAAATAAGATTTACAAGTAATATGCAAAAGGGTGAATAAATTGAAGCAATGTGGAAACTATTTGTTAATTTGGTTAGATTAGAAAAAATTGTTTGCAACAGGAATGACTGTTAGACCCAATTTTTAAATATCTCAAGTATAAATGTTTTTAGTTCATGGACAAATAACAGAGAAACATGAACACACCATGAGTATCACAGTGAACCCACCAGTTTCAATACTACCTGGGTCAAGAAGATCAGATTTTTAGTATCTGAGCAGCTTTCTTGCCTCTTTATCAGTCACTGCCCTCCACAGTCCCAAATAAAACCATTTTCCTAATTTCTGAAATAATAGATTAATTTGCCTGTTTTGGAAATTTATATAAAAGTTCATACGGTATATTCTTTTTGTTTGGCCATAGCTCAATGTAACATTTGTGAGAGATAAAATCACATGAACTGACCCAGATTAATGTGTTTTTGCCTCTAATAATTAGGTGGTAGATAGTGACTTGGTAGTAAAGAGTACAGTGAAGTTATCAGGTGGTCTGTGAATATATTTTCACAAAAAGTCTTTGGGTTTGAATAGTTGATGTTTGCTCACGTTTGTTTATTTTGGATGATTCTACAAAAGGCATAAAGGGGAGGGCATAGTGGAGACAAGAGGAGAGAAACTAGGGAAATTTCCCACGGGAAGCAACACTGGAGCAGTCTGAGGATTTAGGAGTTTGCATAGCAGATGAAGCAAAGGATATCTGCACAGGGATGATAACTCTTGGAATTGCAGGCCACTGAAAAGTAGGCACATAAACACCTGTTTGGAACTTACATTTTATCCTGCAAGTAGTAAGGACTTTTAAAATAATTTTAGAGGGCCTCTCCTGGTGGCGCAGTGGTTGAGAGCTGGGCTATGAGGCTGCCCACAGCCTCTGCAGTGCCGGTTCATTCCCCGGCTGCCGGCGAGGGTTCCACAAAAAAAAAAAAAATAATAATTTTAGATAAGGGAGTAGAGTTATATGGGTAGATGTGTTTCATAACTTTTAACAGTAGTGGAAATTGGAGCACTAATGAAATAATAGGGGAATTGGTTAAATATGGCATTCGCACACAGCAAAGATGTTCATTAATCATAGTTTAGACAAATGTTTAACAATCAGATGGCGCTCTGGGATTCCAGCTGATTCGAGCTTTTATACTTAACAAAGTGATAACGAAATGATTAAACCCTTATATTTAATAACCAGGGACAGAAAATTAAAGCTGTGAGACCATTTGCAGACTATTAAAAGCTGTAGATAAGTGGGGGAAATAATGAGGGCTTGATTCAGGGCAAGCAGGAGAAAAGGTAAAATTAACATTTATAGTTACAAAAGTTGTGAATGTTTAACTTAGGGAAAAGGAAGAATTTGAGCATGTGCAGGCCTCTTGACATGGTAGGACTAGGTGCTGGTGTCAGGAGTAGAGATAATGAAGTACGAAGGATGAGGGGACCCACTAGGTTTCAGGGATAGGAAAAGAAATGGAGAAGAAGCCATTAGAATGGTAGGAGGACAGCTAAGAGTCACATAGCATTGTAAAAACCAGCTAACAGAAGAAAATTGGAAGAACTAAATTGTCAGCGTGTCAAATCATTGTCTGGGAGAACATGTCGAAAAGGATAGAAATAGCCCTTTGGAATTAGTTTTAGGAAATAACTAATATTTAAGAAGCCCTTACTTTGAAAAGTGATAGTAAAAAAACCTGCGGAACCAGAAGGAAAATGTGGTGGGAAGAGATGATAAGAGAAAAATTGAAGCATTATACTTGATAATGTTCCAGAAGGAATATGAAAGTGTTAATCTGCATTTATACATAAAGCTTATTGGCTATATACTACTAGTAGTCTTTATTGTCATCATACTTCTCTCTTTCACACCTGTTTTCTCTCAGACCATATATTAGAAGAGTTTTTCTTTACTGCAATAAAACCTTTTAATGTAAGCATCAATTTGTCGTACTTGGGATCCCTTCTTCCCACAGAATGGAATGGGGTTTTATGTACTTTGTAATTCCTAGTATCAGAGGGCATGGTCTGTCATAGTATAAAGACTGTTTTTATTTTCATCTTTCAGTTGTATTTCCTTAGCCAATGCAAATCTTGTGTTTCACTATTTTTATCTATAAAATGGGTAGGTAATAATTGTCCTCACTGGAGTAAAAGAAATTTGAATCAGGTACCTAATTATCATTAGGTACATAATAAATGCCCAAATAGAATTTAATGATAATCATAAACATGATTCCTTCTCGCCCTTTTCTCAGTAGCTTGCATACGCTATAACTGTACTTCCTGAATGGCCCAGACCAAACTTTCAATAGTTTTGTCATGGCTTCCGAATTCTTTTTCTCTGCGGTTACATGGATTTTTGCTGCTACTAGAGGCAAATTTCCATCAGCACTCTTGGCACCGTGTGGCTTTGGCCATGGAGACCAAAAGAAGTGAATAAACAGACACCAAGTGCTGAAAGTGTATCTGTCCATTTGGCAGTTGCTCTCGAGGCAGTCTTGACTCTTCCAGTTCCTTCCATGTGAGCTTTTTCCTTTGGATGTGTAAGAACTAAAGAAATTGGGACAAAACCACCAAAAGGAAACTCCTACACAATAGTGTAATTTTCTCACAGTCATTGAAAATTTGCAGCTTTATCCATTTCTTCTCCTTTTAACTTTCCAGTGTATGCTACTTTTGTGAATGTTTGGTTCTTTTAAGCATTATTGTTTCATTTCTGGTTACTATTTCTTTTATATTTGTGTTTTGATGTAGTCCTGTTTTTCTAGAAAGCCAGCCTATATAATACCTATAAGGTAGTCCTAATGAAACACACTTAAAGTGTTTCTTGCAGTTGCCAGTTTTTTCTTTAAAATACAATCAGGAACTGGATGGATCAGTTTGTTCATTGCTGGCACTGTATGAAGGATACTAGTACCTATGACTTAGGTTTGAATTTCATGAGGAAGGGGATTAAATGTATCCTCTCAGTTATTTCAGGACGTTTTAAATTTTTATCTTTTGGAAGATTCAGAATTTGATTTAAAGAGTATATGAGCTTATATGGATTATTGGGGGAGTGTCGCCCCCCCCCCACCTTTGGGGTACTCCAATACACAATCTACAATATGTACTTTTGTTTAAACTGAGCTTTTTCTAACCAGGATATTTGTATAGGTCTAGTTGTTTCATCATTAAGTGGAGATGGAAGTATGCCAGTAATTTCTATCAACTGGAAAGTGTTGTGTTAAAATTAGGTGTGCTATATATGTCATTCATGGGTGAAGGACACTGAGTATTTTTCCTGTGTGTGAACTAGCTCAGGAACAAAGTTACACCAGCTATGGCCTTTGGCTAGGTTTCTGTAGCTACCTTTTGATTTTGCAGAAAAAGCCACCACGTGAGAATGGCCATAAGCAGTTAAGTAGCGGTTCCATTGGATGTATCTCTTCTCCAAATGCTACCACACAAAGCCCTAAGCATGAGTGGAAAATCGTTGCTTCGGAAAAAACTTCAAGTAAGTGTATTTTACTTGTCTGATTGTCTTCACTTATTTAAGAAAGAATGTTTAGTGGAACCATTTAATACTTTAAATTGACTACTTGAGGAAAAAGGCTAAAATTTGGAAAAAAGCAGATTGTTCCAATTTGCAATCTGGATAAAGTGGAGTCCAGTTCAGGATCACACAATAACCAAAAGTTACATTAATTTGCATCTTAAACATAGAACTCTTTTGCTTACAGATAACACTTACTTGTGCCTGGCTGTGCTGGATGGTATATTCTGTGTAATTTTCCTTCATGGGCGAAACAGCCCACAGAGCTCACCGACAAGTACTCCAAAACTAATTAAAAGTTTAAGCTTTGAGATGCAGCCAGATGACCTAATAGAAAAGCCCATGTCTCCTATGCAGTATGCACGATCTGGTCTGGGGACAGCAGAGATGAATGGCAAACTCATTGCTGCAGGTAAGAACTAACAGATGAGGGCCTCCCCGGTGGCGCAGCGGTTGAGCGCTGGGTTGCGAAGCTGCCCGCAGCCTCTGCAGCGCTGGTTCGATCCCCGGCTGCTCCCCGGCCACCGGAGGAGGGTCCCACATGGCGCGCAGACCTCTCCTGCCGCCCGCTGCTCCCCTCAGCAGTGTACTTCGCTCCTTCTGCCTGCTCTGCTCCCTGCTCTGGCTCTGGTGAATTCTCTCACCCTCCTGCGCTTCTGACTGTACCCAGTGCTTGTATAAATAAATAAAAATAAATCTTTTAAAAAAAAAAAAAAAAAAGAACTAACAGATGAGTGTTTTCGTACTGGAAATCTTCAGGTGGCTAGGCCAGTTGCTTGTAACATGCAAACTTTGGAAGAGAAGGGGCTTGATGTCTTCTCCTTTGAAACTCTATCTAACCATATTCTAAGATAGCAGTATAACGAGTTAAAATACATTTTTATTACCTAAACTTCAAATCAGTGACTACTTCTAATTTAAAAAAAAATATAAAGTGGTTTATAGTTCTCTCCTAATTAATTTTTGAGCCAAAGCAAGTACTTTACTCGTACTGGTAATGTTATTCAGCTATTATAAGCTCTTAGTTGAATTACCAACTAAGGGGGCCTTCATAAGTTTGTGGGTGAAAATATTTTTTCTCATGCATCTTAAGTCTGCATAAACATAATGCCTGGTGATTCTTTTCCAGGTGGCTATAACAGAGAAGAATGTCTTCGAACAGTTGAATGTTACGATCCGCATACAGATCACTGGTCCTTTCTTGCTCCCATGAGAACACCAAGAGCCCGATTTCAAATGGCTGTACTCATGGTGAGTGCATTGTGTTGCCAGAAGGAGCAACCCATATTGAACTTTTTCTCATTACTTCAGAATGGCAGACATTCTAATCTCTCGCCTTTGGCATAGGGCCAGCTCTATGTGGTAGGTGGGTCAAATGGCCACTCAGATGACCTGAGTTGTGGAGAAATGTATGATCCAAACATAGATGACTGGATTCCTGTTCCAGAACTGAGAACTAACCGTTGCAATGCAGGTAGTAATACTTTCCTTCTGAGATAACTAGTATGTAAATGTGATAACTGTCATATAATCTTACTTAATTCTTATCATAGGAGTGTGTGCTCTGAATGGAAAACTGTACATTGTTGGTGGCTCTGATCCATATGGTCAGAAAGGATTGAAAAATTGTGACGTATTTGATCCTGTAACAAAGTCATGGACAAGCTGTGCTCCTCTTAACATACGTAAGTTGATATTATCTCTCTCAAAGTTGCTGTTTTTGTTTTTTTAAAGATTTATTTATGCATAGGAGAGCTGGAGTACAGGCCAGAGGCATGTTGTGGGGGGTGAGAGGATTCGCCAGAGACAGAGTGGGGAACAGAGCAGGCAGATTGACTAAAGTACACTGCTGAGGCGAGCAGTGGGCGAGTCAGGAGAGTTCTGCTGGAGAGTTCTGCTGTGCCTTGTGAGTTGCTCCCTGGCTGACTGAGAATGGATAGCTTCATAGGTTGCGTCTTAACCCTTGCACCACCAGGGAGACCCCAAAGTTGCTGTTTTTCTAAGATCTTTGCATCAGTAGTATGTGACGTCCACATTTAGTTATGGGAGAGACAGTACCAATTTTGCTTTGACTTGATTTTTTGACAGGTAGACACCAGTCTGCAGTCTGTGAACTTGGTGGTTATCTGTACATAATTGGGGGCGCAGAGTCATGGAATTGTCTGAACACAGTAGAACGTTACAATCCTGAAAATAACACCTGGACTTTAATTGCTCCCATGAATGTGGCAAGGCGAGGAGCTGGGGTGGCTGTTCTTGATGGTGAGTGTTGGGATTTGGTGAGTGAGGACTAGGTTCTGGCAATGATTTGCTCTAGAACTCTTAAGAATTCAGAAAATGGGGATCGGTGGTTTGTCTTTTAGAAATGTCTTTCATAATAAGACTCAGTACTTGCTATCTAACTTAAATATATTAATTCACTAGTGTTTTGGTAGATGTTCATTTTCTCCCATAAACCACATCCACAAAGCATCCTCTTAGCAGTTGAGCTTGTTTCTTTAAATTGTAAGAAATTTAAAGAATTTGATTTGCAAAACAAAAACATGCAAATCATAGATCTAGTCTTTTCTAATGTTTATTCCATACTTAGAAAAAAAAAATTGACTGTTTAAACAAGGCTTTCCAGACAATTAAGTGTAGACACAACTTTTTCCACATTCATTTTATTCATTTATGTATACTTATGTAATTGTAGTAATGAATTTAGCGTTTTTTGGGACAAAGCAGAATCTTGGTAAGTTATGGCTGAACTGGTGAAAGCTTAAGTGTATAGACACTGCCAGCAAGCAGCCTACTGACCTGCAGCCTTCAGCCTACTATTTAAAACACTGGAACCATTAACTGCATGAATATTCTAAAATAGTCATAATTCTCAGTCTCTTTCCAAGAAGAAATATTTGTAACAATCATTTTCTGTTGTTGGAAAGTTCTAGAAAAGAGTTATTTGAAATCTGCTTTCCTATAACTTTTTGAATCTTAGTTCTCATGGAAGGAAATAATGGAAAATGTCCAGTGCACAGAACTGTTCTGTGCTACTTACTAGCTGTGTCTTTGTTGTCTACTTGGGGGAAATGGTAACTGCAGCAACCCTATCCTGTAACACAACTACCTTAGAATTGTTGTGAGAAACACTTTAGATGCTGCCCCACCCGCCCCCCCTTAAGTTGCCTAAGTTCCATGTGCAAATGGTTTTTTTTTTTATCACTTTTATTCCATTTTGTGTCTCCAGCTTCCAGAGAATGCCTGCCATGTTAGTAGACTCTTCACATTTTTTTTTTTTGACAGAATGAACAGGCATCTCTACTAAGAATTACTTTCTTTAGCAAAGGGCAGATTTAGGGTTTTTTCTTGTACTTCAGCCTCCTTAGATTTATTTTGTCTCATTTCTCTTTTAGGAAAACTGTTTGTAGGTGGTGGCTTTGATGGTTCTCATGCCATCAGCTGTGTGGAGATGTATGATCCATCTAGAAATGAATGGAAGATAATGGGAAACATGACTTCACCAAGGAGCAATGCTGGGATTGCAACTGTAGGGAGCACCATTTATGCAGTGGGAGGATTTGATGGCAATGAATTTCTGAATACGGTGGAAGTCTATAACCTTGAGTCAAATGAGTGGAGTCCCTATACAAAAATTTTCCAGTTTTAGCAAATTCAAGACCCTTTGAAACTAACAGGCTTAGTGATGTAATTGTGTTTAGTAGAGGTACACTTGTGAATAAGGAGGGTGGGTGGGTATAGATGTTGCTAACTGCAACACAGAGCTTTTGCATATTGCATATTATTAAACAATGCTGTACATACTTTTTGTTTTATTTGAAAAGGAATGCAAAGATGATGAAAAGTCTGTTTTGTGTATTTTTAGGAGTACTTTGTTACTTTACATTTTGGAAGTTGATATTGTAAAAGAATAAACCAAGAATTGATTGGACATGTCATTTCAAGAAGTTCCCTCTCCCCTACATTTGTTTTCCCAATTTGCACATTAATAAACGACACTTCCCTCAAATGTGTATTGTGGGGCAAAAGATGTTAGAACTAAAATATAGGCAGTTGGGTTTTTTAAGGGCCCTTTTTCAATAACTGGAACATTATAACAGATTTATTTAACTAGATGATAATGATTATTTTTGTTTCTATTAAAAGAAAGCTGACATGCCTACCAATATTTAATCTTTTATGACTGCCTTTTTATGACTTTTTATATTCTCAGTAAAGTCCTTTTTAACCTGGTAAAGTAAGATATGATAGATTCAAATGACTGAAGGAGTGATGGTCTTAAAAGTGTGCACTGAGGCGTTTTCCTTTATACACTCACCCACGTCGCAGTTTTTTAAATTTCAGACTGCAATACCAATGTTATTTGAATGGATTTGCTGAACAGTAACAGCTGTGAATTTTTATTTAAAATCCTGATTTTAAATATTTTGATGGCATATTTTATATATCAAGGCACAATAGCAAAGAACAATGAAGTATTTAATTTTCTAAATCTGGTTTTTATCATTAACAAAATGATGGTAGCCTTTGTAAAAAAAAAAAAACCTGCTTTCAACTGTATTTGGTTTTTATGAATACATCCTTTAGCAGAACTATGTTTCTGTTCAGTTTTTCTATTCTTATAACTATTGTTGAGAGTGAGGCAATACCTAATGTGTAGTGCTACACTTAAAACCTACGGTGCCAAAATTAATCCACCTTAATGCAGATGCAAACATACTAAAGGTACTTTACAAGAAGTCTTTGCACCATGGCATTGACATCCAATGCTGTATGTGTACCTATTTGTTACTGAAAGCTTGGGGAAAAATTTTTCAGTAATGATGAGCTTATGGGAAAAAATACTCACCTGGCTTCTTCCATCTGAAATAAGGGCTAATATAAGATCGTTCTTCTCACGTAAGACAAAAAAGCACACTGGAATCTTCATGAGCCAAGTGGGATAGGGTGACTATCCAGTAGCTGATTTGGGTCAGGAAGATTGTTTTCTCTGAACTGTTCTGGTACTTCAACTCCTCCTTAATTTAGTCATAAAGAACCACCACAAAATGAAATGGCTATGTAGTTCCTGACTATATTTACTGCCACTTTGGTTTTGGACTAAAACTTAGGCTGGTTAATTTGAATTTGCCTAATGGGACTTTTTTAAATGGATCTGTAATGTGTTCTGTTTAGCAAAAGAAAATAAAATTTCAGTTGGGGATTTAGTAAAATCCTTGAAATCAATCTCAGTTCCTATGTGACTTGCTTAATGCAAATAATGTGGTGGGACTACCTTGGTTCAAAGTTCTCCTTAATCACAATTGTTGCCAAACAGGTACTTTGGTAGCTGAATAAAGTATGTTTTTAAAGTGGATTTAGACAAAGTTTCCATAAAGGAAACAGACTACTCAATGACCACTTATGAACATTTAAAGGTACCAAAAACTTTTTTTTTTTTTTTTAAACCAGTATGGGTTTGGGAGTAGTTTCAAGTAATACTGGCAATAACCACTGGCAATCAATTGTAGCAAGACTTAAAACATAAAATACTTGTTAATGAAACAATTGGTTATGTTCAGGTGAGTATTTTCATTTGACTTAAAGATAGGGTTTTGGTTTCTTGTATGCTAGACATACTTCACATTACTCGACACGTTGTAGAATTCCTTATATAATCATTCTGGGAGGGGGTGGCTCTACATTTGGGAGTGTGATATAATGCTGAAATTCTTCCTTACTAATAACACTGTGGGTATGCACTATATAGAATCCCCAACTATATAATCTCTCCAGCCTCAGAATTCTTAATTTCTTAAAGTAGGCTAAGGAGCAAAAGTCCCCTAACAGGACATTCCTGCAGCTCCAGAGTTGCCTTCAGTAGAGTGCAAGTCACAGGTAATTCAGTCTATAATATCAGCCATTTATTTGTCTACTCTTTGTTTCAAAAAAGGATTTGAAGAGTCTTTAGTTGAGTGAGACATAAGATACAAGGTAACTGGGTGGAAAGATAAAAATACAGATACACCAATACAAGTCTTAATAAGGCAAACCACAAATTTAATCTTGTAAACAGGAGACCTGCTAATACATTAAATTGCCTGTAGGTAAAAAAGGAATTATTTTGAAGCACTGATTTCTTTTATAATAAAACTCAGAAGTTCTTCCAGAGTCATAAAATAAACTGAGCAGCAAAAGTTAAATTTATAAAGTGGAGAAGTACTCGTATATGTCATGGGTTCGTCAGCCTACTAGCATAATGGCCAACAAAATATTCAAGCTTCACTATTAACAGTTACATGCTTTGTTAGGGACTGAAGAAAGGTAAGAAGCAAAATCTCAAGTATTAAGCTGAGTATAGAGTTGACAACCTGTGAAAATATATGACCTAAAAAGGGCATATCTGAAGATTACCCATTTCTCAGTAAGCAAAAGGTGCCATACTATTTCAGCCTATAAAATAGGTGCAATATCAAACATGAATGAGAATTAACTTTTGAAATGATATATCCAGAAAAGAGTAGGGGTTGCTAAATTAAAAGCTGGCATCTACCACATAAAATTGTAACAATAATTCATAGGGCTACGTATCCATTAAGGCTACTCCCAAATCACAAGATGTATTCTCTTGTACTTTGAAAGCCTCAGGCTTAAAACTACCCATTAAAGGCAGTTCTGTATATAGAACTCTCAAGACACAACAGGACAATTTTTAAATGGGCAAAAGATATGAACAATACGCTTCACCAAAAAAGAACAAATGGATTCCAATGAGAATATGAAAAGACATTCACAATCTTGAATCATTAGGAAAAGGACGTAAAATGATATCCACATTGATTAAACAAAGTAACACCGAGTCCTGGTTTAGAACACATTAAATTGCTGAAGGACAAAATTGTAAGGTCACTTTGGAAAACAGGCAGTTTCTTAGTTAAATTCCTGATGCAGGAATCCCATTCCCGGGCATTTATCCACTTACAATGGAATACCACTGAGGAATGAAAAAGAATGAGCTGATAGAACATGGCTGGATCTCGGAGCATCATGGTGAGAAGCCAGCCTCAAATGCCTCCATTTATGTTGCATTCTGGAAAAAGAAAACTACAGACTCTTCAATGGCTTCTTGAGGCGGAGATGGGAGTTGGCTAGAGGGGCATATGAATTTTGGGGAGCAATGGAACTCTCCTGATTGTGCAGGTGTAATGTGATTGATTGTTGGACAAAATTTACATATACACGCACTCAAAAGCTCAAAGGAAAAGAAGGAGAGGCTAAGGACAGGTATATTTTCCATAACTTTTGGAAATCACATTAGGGAAACGTTTGATCCCACAAGGGCTGTGTACTGAACTGGTGTAGTTTAGCCCATAATCAATAGACAACATACAATAGAGCTCCAAAGACTGAGAAAAGATTAGGAGAGAATAGGATGTTAAAACTGGTTTGTACTTAGAAACATTGAGCAAGGTCATAGCTGAGATTTGGGTGTCTCACCTACCAGGTTCATAACTGGTAATTCTGCTCAAGCTCATGGAGTTTATTTTCGGTGGAGTTTTATTGGCAAAATTGCCAGAGCGCCACCGACTGGGTAGGGAACTAGGCCTATCAGTCCAAGTCTCTGAATCAGAAAAGAGCTATGAGGGACATCACGAAGAGAGCATTTGATCATTCAGTAGTGAGATTCTCTCAAAGACGGAATTGGTAAATCAATCCAACTCCTCATAGAAGGCTACTGAAAAGGTCTCTGGTAGATGGTTGGGCTTGGGAAGGTGTCAGGAGTAGGAACAATATGATGCAGGCTCTAAAGGTTGCCCAAGACAATAAATAGCCTGGATCAACCTTAAAAGGAGTTCTGTTCCCCCTTAAGAGGATGGTCAAAGAATTCAGGAAATGGACCTTCAGGTTTGTCTTGTTTCCTATATTTCACGTGACAATTACCACAATAGGGAAGCTGACAACTAACTCATCTGTGAAGTCTTAATTTTCAGTCTCAATTGCTCACTGCAGGTCCAGCAAGAGGACCCAGTGGGGCACAAGAAACCCCAATTCTTTAGCCAGCTTTGCTTTTTGGCCAGTAGGCTGGGACATCTGGGGGCTGCTCCAAATCAGAGAATCCTCCCTGGTCCTCTAAAGAGGGAAATGACTATCTCTGGTTAAAAAAAAAAGGGGGGGGGCCCACCCTTTTTAGTAGAAAATGCCTGCAGCTACCCCACTGTGGCACTTTGCTGTATTAATTTTCATGGATGCTTCTCAGGAACTTCCTCACAAGGGCAAGGCCAAGAGTAATACACAGAGAGCCGTTCTCCTGGCATGACTTTCCTCACTGTTCCCTTCTGGTGCGTGGCATGCTCCATGATGGCTTCTGCCCAAAATATACTAGCTATACATACTAAAGAATGGACATTTTGAAACCTTAAGTTCCTCTTCTAAGTATGTGGTAATTCTTCCATCAAAACAAATGAATGTTCTGCAAGGTGGGGCTTATGTTCCTTACATGATTTGAGATGCACCCATCCAGAGTGGGGAACAGGAAAGAAAAGAGTAGGGGGTAGCAGGAAAGGGAACCCTCAACACCTATAGGGAAGTATTATGAAAAATATGAAATCAATAAAGTTTAAGATCAAAAAAGTTTACAAGGAAAAGAGAAATAGAAAAAAAAAACACATTTCATTAAATTTTAGAAAACATTTCAAAGGAAGGCTGAAGCAAAATTTTTATATGAATTTTAAAAGACTAGAAAGTAGGACACATCTTACGTAGCAATATAACAAAATGAAAAAAGGATTGAAATAAAATAATGTACAAGGTAAAAGACAAACTAAAATAAAATTAAAAACTACATGTATAAGGTGAAATGTGTGGAAGAATGGAGGTAGCAGCAATGAAATTTCCTACAAGGTATAACATATATTAAAGATAAAAAGGAAAGAGGAAGTAATAAATTAGAGCAAAACCACCCAAACCAGATATACCAATTGGAAGCAGTTGAGAAAGACTAGGGGAGCAGATGCTTTATTAGCTCCACAGGGAAGAAGGAAAAAAAAAAAAGGACGTGGCGAGCAGAGATGCTCTGGAAGATTCTCCTACCCAGCTCACATCCCTGACACGGCACAAGCGGGGTGTTGTCTGCAGTGAGCAGCCTTAGTAAGTTCTCTCATGGAGAAGGTCACGTCTATAATTAAACTTGTACACAGTTCTGAAACAAATGGAAGTAAAATGAAAAGCAGTATCTTACTAAAAATAAGTTATTTATTGCTTTTTAAAAATAAATTAACATTTATAATAGACTACCAAGTTGGATTTTAGCTAATGTAGTAATAAAAGCATAATATAGTCTGGTAAATAAAGATTCCAACTTACAGTATAACTAAAAAATGACTCAGTGGAACACTTGGACACTTAGCTTAGCTGGGGGCAAACATCAGTCACTGCCACCTAATCCACGCTGCTTCACATTTAAGGGAAAACTGCATAAGGGTCACCCTGCTCTTCCCATTAGAAATGCAAGATGAGGGAGATCCCTGGGGAAGAAGCAAAGAGGCCGTGTAACAAGTTGGAGCTGAAGTCAAAATCAATTTCATTGCCTTGGGGGAAAGGAGGTGTTTTATGTTCATCTACATGGAAGACAGAATGATCATAAATCAGCCCTGGGTAAGATTTCATTTACAGAATGTGGCGAGCATGGTCACATCCTAACTTGGGTTTGGAAGTATCTCTGGTGACAAAGCCATACCAGAGTGGAGAGCAATGCTAATCTTTATGCCCTAGGCCTTCCTCATATGCTACAGTGACTCCTGCCCTAAAATGACTAAAAAGCTGGCTCTCCTTGCCTCGGACATTCTGGCTCAATATCAGGAGTAGAGGTAGGGCGGTATCATCAACCCAAAATGAGTTAAGTCCACAGCTTATCATACAATGGATGCATCAGGCCTTTTAGAGCCTGTCAGCAATAGGCAATCACCTTTTTGTACCAATGAGACATTTCTTAAACAGTTCTTGGGTTTGGCTCCAAAGAGAGAAAGCTACTTTGAAGACCAGTGCAACTCCTTGGAAGTGACAACTCAACACTTAAGTACTATGGTTGAGCATGTCTTCACACCAGCCCCTGTTTTTGGCCTCCATGTACACAGACGCATTGCACTGCTGCATGGTGCATTCCATCTCCACCAGCTGCCGACATCCGATGATTAACTTCTCCCTAGGGGATAAAGAAGTGTGAAGTCACTACAAACCAGCTGATCAGATAAATGAAAAAAATCTTAATACAACAGGTTTAACAGCATGATTTGAAAGACACTAAAGACACTAAAGATACTTGGGAAAATACCAACAGTTATGGTTTCCTGGCACAGACAAAACTACACGAGATGAGAACTTGGTTGCACAGAAGCGCAGATAATCATATGAAGCTCTCGGCGCAAGTCCTAGAATTCAGGAATAAGGGCCAACCTGCTGCCAAGAAGCGAAGTTGGATTTTTTTTTTAATTTTAACATTTATCATTTTTAAATTTTTTTAGACAATATTTGCTTCCCCCCACCCCCTCAGATTGAGTCCCCAGAGAATTTCCTCCCCCAAGGCACCTGTGCACCATCCCCTCAGTCCCCTGTGCTCCTCCCTCCCTCCCTCCCTCAGTTTCCTCTCCCTCCTCCTCCCCTGCAGGATGTCTCTGATTTATAATTGTCTGTTTTTGCTTTGTTGTGTTTTGTACTGTCATTGTTTTTTTTTTTAAACTGATGTCTTACTGGGTTCCCCTATATTCCTGTTATAAGTGAAACCATCCGTTATTTTTCTTTGTCCTTCTGGCTTATTTCACTGAGCATAATTCCTTCTAGCTCCATCTACGTTGCTGCAAATGGCATGAGTTTATCTTTTTTGATTGCCGAATACTATTCCATGGTGTATATATACCACATCTTCTTAATCCTGTCATCTCTGTTTGGTCTCTGGAGGATGTTCCCCAGAAAGAGACAGGCTGATATCAGGAAGTTCTAATCCAAGGGGTAAGCAAACACTATAGAATAGATCACATTTCTATCTTAACTGGTTTGACTTAAAGGAGGACTATTAAGAGTATGCACCTCAGGGCCTCCCTGGTAGCACAGGGGTTAAAAACAGCGCTATCAAGCTATTGCCAGCCACTGCAGCACTAGTTGGATCCCCACATGGCACAGCAGACCTCTCCTGACTCACCTGCTGCTCCTGTCAGCAGTGTATTTCGGTCAGTTGGCTGTTCTGCTCCCCACTCTCTCTGGTGAATCTTCTCACCCCCCGCCCTCTGGCCTGGACTCTAGTTTTTGTTTTGTTTTTTTAAGATTTATTTATTTTTATACAAGAACCGGGGTACAGACCAAATGCGCGGGAGGTTGAGAGGATTCACCAGAGACAGAGCAGGGAACAGAACAGGTAGATGGACCGAAATACACTGCTGAGGGGAGCAGCGGCAAGACAGGAGAGGTCTGCTTCGCCATATAAACCCACACTGCAGAGGCTGCAGACAGCTTCACAGTGTGGCGCTCAACCACCTGCACCACCAGGGAGGCCCTGTACCCCAGTTCTGGTATGCATAAATAAATCTTTTTTTCAAAAAAAAAAAAAAAAAAAGAGGATGCATTTCCTAGGAGTAACGGGTATCAGGGAGGGGACAGACATTGATAGCATTATAATTCTTAAAAAGAACTGCTGAGAGACGGCCCAGCAAAATGTGGGCAGTGTGAAGATATGGGGCCCACCTCCAGACACCCACAACAAAAATGATGTAAAACAAAGCCAGAACCCTGAGGGAAAAACTGGTTTTCAGTGTATACAAGAGGAGCATCAGCCAAAGTAAAAAGGGTAAGAAAAACTCTAGTTGAACTTTGTTGAAAGTAAAATCCAGGAAATACAACCCTGTGTACTGAGAAGGAGGGGATGTGCTGTCGTGCCGAGCCCCCTATAGCTACTGACTTGGGTGCGCACCAAATTGGGGCCCCTGAGATCTGGCACTGCACTGGGCAAGGATCAAGAACCCAGGATGGAGGGTGCATTCTGGGAGAGCTACAGAGATGAAGGCACAGAGCAAGGAAGACTGGCTTGAAAGTGAGGCTCTAACACAGTACCTCTAGCAGAGGGTCTCAAACTCTCAAATGCCTTGGAAGGATTCTAGAAATGGATTGCCAGGCTCTATCCTCAGAATTTCTGATTCAGAAGGTCTAGGGTAGGGCTTAGCACGTCTTCCAATTTCCCAGGTGATGCTGACACTTAGGCCCTGAAGCACAGTTCTAATATAATCTAGAAGATGCTAACATGGACCTGATTCCCAGAGTCGGGAGGCAATCAGTCCTAAAGGCACCTGCCACAAGAAATGAAAGCAGCTGCCGTTACAAGGGCCAAACTGGGGCACTTGTGATTTGGCCTTCAGGTACTTTATGAAGGGGATGTTGCAAACCAGTCTGCATGTCATATAGGGAAAAAATGACTTTAGAGACTTGCCAGAACATCCTCTCAAGAATACTGCTTGTGGGCCTCCCTGGGTGGCACAGCGGTTGAGCGCTGGGCTACGAGGCTGCCCGCAGCCTCTGCAGCACCGGTTCAATCACCAGCTGCCGGCGAGGGTCCCACATGTCTCGCAGACCTCTCCAGCCACACCCGCTGCTCCCCTCAGCAGTGTATTTCAAGTCAGTCTGCCTGTTCTGCTCCCCGCTCTGGCTTTGGTGAATTCTCTCACCCTCCTGCGCTTCTGACTGTACCCAGTGCTTGTATAAATAAATAAATAAATCTTTAAAAAAATAATAAAAAAAAAGAATACTGCTCATGACGTATTTCTCATACATATAAATAATATCATATAAGATATTTAGTATTCTGTCTGATAATTTGCCCTCCAGAGTAAATACTCAATTGCTCAGGGTAAGCAGAGTTCACACTCCATTGGCAAGGGCAAAAGTTGTATCAAAGAGTCTACAAATTACAGAAGACAGAAACACTAAATGAATTGTAGATACAAATATCATGCAAATTCCCTATCTTATAGGAATTCAACTTGGATCAAAATTACTTTCACGTAAAATCTTAATTCCTTGCTTTATCAGAAGCCACAAAATAGTTTTGTGCTTTTGAGCTATTTAATTATCTCCCTACAGCAATCAATATGGTGTCAACTTTGTAATATGGAGACATCAACAGTCTCTTCCACAACACTTAAAAAGGTTTAAAAACAAAGATTGGAAAACTCAGACAACATAAGAAATTGTTTTTCTAACCTAGCCAAAGGTGGTCAGGTATATGCCAAGTTAAATCATTCTGTTTTCACCTCTAGGTAACAGGAAAACTCTACCACTTGATCTGTTGCATCTCACCCTGTGTCTCGTATGAAACCTTGCCCTGTGTCTCGTACCACTTGATCTGTTGCACCTCGCCCTGTGTCTCGTAAAAATCAAAGAAATCTTTCGTTTTTGGAAGTGTATTTGTACATTGTGAGCTGTGGAGTACCCTAGAGACTAACAATAGAAATATCATTCAGTCTAAATATGGCAAACAATTTAAAACTAACAACAGAATTAACAAATCTAAAAGTGGGGCCAGCCTGGTGACCTAGTGGTTAAGTCTCAGCGCTATTCCCTCTATAGTCTGAGTGTGATCCCCAGGCAGGGAACTAAAACACACATGGCACAGCAGACTTCTCCTGTGTCGCCCACTGCTCCCCTCAGCAGTGTACTTCAGTAGATCTTCCTGTTCTGCTCCCCACTCTGTCTCTAGCAAATCCTCTCATCCCCTGCACCTCTGGCCTACACCCAGTTCTTCCATACAAAGGTAAATAAAAATTTAAAAAAAATAAATTTTAAAGTTAAAAAAAATAAAAAATCTAAAGGCTATTAGCAGAAAGTCTGCCAAACAGCAATCATTTTTCAGTTTATTCAAGATATATAGGTATTTGGTTTCTCTTCAAAACTCTTAAATCCCTCACATAGTGGGAAGAAAATGAAGAGGAAAACAGGTATAGCTAAGTTTAACTTTGAACATTCAACTTCAATGTTTCACACATTCCCTGCAAGAAACTCTCCCAACCATTCCAAAAGTAACTGAAGTCAAAATAATTTTAGAGATCTAACTAGAATCATAGACTCTGCCCTTTAAGTTTCTATGGTGAGTTTTCTACACCTTCAGAAACAAGGTTAAGATTGGAAGACATTAACATTTTTGACACAAATCTAATCTATACAAACCTTTAATTACGGATTATCTGTAAAGATCTATAAAGCATACAATTGTTAATTGATAATCAGAAGATGAGGATAAAAAATCATTTTCGCCCCCTGCTACATCAAATTACGCATGTCCATTGGCTTCACATTTTCTTGAAAAAGTTGTTTTAGTCTAATGAGTGAACTTTCAGAGCTGTGCTGCTCAGTAACATTTACATATGATTATAAATCCTCAAATCTTGGTATCAAATACTTTTCTCAACCTAGAGATTAATAGAAGCATCTTTATACTTAACTATGTTACTTCACTTACTCCTAAAATTTTATAGTCACAAGGACATAACTGCAAGTTGTAAATAACAAACTATGAATTAGTGATACCATGGCAAATTATATAACAGCAAATATACAGACAATTCTGCTCATTCTTAAAAGGGTACCAATGCCACTGATGAATTAAGGAACAAATGGAGTAAACACAAATTTTCAATTTGCTTACACACAATCTCAATCATGAGAAACACTAGCTAACAGAGAAAACTGCACCCAACTGGATCCAGTTACTCAGGAATACACCACACGTGTGCATGCATACCCTCAGGCACACGCACACAGACACACACCAAACACCTATCAGCTACATGTTTTCTTTTTGTGTGTTTTGAGCCATGTCCACCTGCATTTGACACAGTAATTTCACATCTAATTTCACATCCCTCCTCTATCACATCACATTAACCCAAACAGGCTCTAACCCTTCCACATAGCCACTTTCACAGCAAACTTAAGCTCTGCTTTCAAGATAAAGTGTCATAATTATTAGAGCAATGGTATTTCTTAATCATTTTTACAATTACAAAACTATGATATCATTCTGATTACATTCCTATCTCATTTTTTAATGGGGTCTTTATTGAGCTTCTGAGTAAAGTGCTTCAACACCTTTTCCCCCATGAGTCATTGGCCATTATTCTGCACAGTGCAATGGTGGTATTTAGGACTGCAGCTCTCATGATATAGTAGAACTGAATATAAACCAACTACTGTCCATGCATCAGCATGGATGAATTTGGTTTTTTTTTAGGAGGAAGGTGAGTACCGCGTACTTTATTGATGGTACATGACAAGGCAGCCCCTCCCCTCCTCTATGAGGTCTGGGATGGCACAGTTGACAGATCAGGAGTTTCTCAGTATGTCTGGATGGGTGGGGAAAGGACTCTCTAGCAGCTGAGGGTACCTCTTTTCCTCGTGTGCACTCTCTGAAGCTGGTGGTTCAGTGGGCTCTTAACTTCTTAGAGGCTATGAGGACCAGCACAACATGGATAAATTTCAATGCTGAGTTAGAAAAGAATTTGAGGTTGGGCCTCCCCGGTGGCACGGGGTAAAGTCTCAGCACTGTCAAGCTATCATCAGCCACTGCAGTATGAGTTCAATCCCCAGCCAGGGAGGTGACCCACATGGCGCAGCAGACCTCTCCTGTCTCGTCCGCTGCTCCCCTCAGCAGTGTATTTCAGTCAGTCTGCCTGTTCTATTCCCCACTCTGTCTCTGGTGAATCCTCTCAGCCCCACACTTCTGACCCGTACCCCAGATCTTGTATGCATAAATAAATCAATCTTTTAAAAAAAAAAAACGTAAAATAAAAAAAAAAAAGAATTTGAGGTAAAAGTGGGGACTGGAAGGGAACAATGAAAGGATTTTCCACATGGATTTGCTGGCCGGCGTCCAGGAATGGAGGACTTCGCCTGTTCCTTGTGTATACAAGAATCAGACTTATACTACTTTTTCATTTTTGTTATATATGAATGCTAGAAACCAAATGAATTTCACACACACACACACACACACACACACACACACACCAAACACAGAACACACATATAGAACAGTGTGTTAACTTAAAAATCAGGAAAAACCAAAAACATTTTTATTGCTATATAGATATACAAAAAAAAAAAAAAAAAAAAAAAAACACACCTTAAAAAGATGAGAATTATAAATACAAAAAATTCCCAGGGAAAACATGGAAGGAAGGATATGATACAAACAGTGATGCATAAAGGTCCATTTTGTCAGAATGGTAGGCACGTGAGTATTTTTTATAGCAGTTTCTCTTAAAAACATAATCGGAGGACCCTGGTGGGATGTGACTCCTTTAAAGGAGTGTGAAGTCAAAGAGGTGACACCATTTTTACAATGTGGATGCCTTTTGTATTCGAGTCTAACAGGAGTGTACAGTAGCTTTCTAATGATTATCACAACCAACTCACTGCAAAAGCTGTTAAGACAATATAGCTGTCATCTATTAAGCCAGACATTGGGAATCTTGCAAAAATGTATAATATTTTTGTACGTCGGTAATATTTTTTTGTTTGGGAAAAATTATTTTCATAATTATCTTAATATATAATTAGTGAGTTATTATTTTTATATGTACACATTTTTAAATTTATCAATTTTAATTTCTAGCACAGAAAATATAGAGACACATAAATAAAAGCTCTTTGGGGTCTCTAATAATTCTTTTTTTTTTAAAGATTTATTTATTTATTTATACAAGCACTGGGTACAGTCAGAAGCGCGGGAGGGTGAGAGAATTCACCAGAGCCAGAGCGGGGAGCAGAGCAGGCAGAAGGACCGAAGTACACTGCTGAGGGGAGCAGCGGGCAGCAGAAGAGGTCTGCGCGCCCCGTGGGACCCTCCTCTGGTGGCCGGGGAGCAGCCGGGGATCGATCTGGCGCTGCAGAGGCTGCAGGCAGCTTCCCAACCCAGCACTCAACCGCTGCGCCACCGGGGAGGTCCCTCTAATAATTTTTAAAAATATACAGGCATCTAGAGGCCAAAAAATTTGAAAACTACTTTAAGCCTTATACCAGCTGCACGTGTGTGCACGAATGTGTGCACACACACACATACACACACACAGTTCTTTTCCATGTATGAAATATTTATCAATGAAGGTAAAAAAAAATCACAGGGTAATGAAGACATGCTTTACTGTTACACCACACGGTGCTATATACAGTAAAAGCTTGTTACACGGGACACCTATAAGTGGATGTGACTTACCGATATTCAGTCTGTGAAACACAATCATAAAGTTCCTGGGCAGTAAATTTGACATTTTTATTTAACTGAAAAAAACAAAAATAGTTATTAAAAATGCATATTAAATCAAAAGAATGTTGAGAGCACAGAATGGCGCATATCCTGAGGGAGCAGAATCTCGTTTCTAGTTACTGCATGAAAAGAACTAAACCATAGCAGCAGAACTGCAGTGACCATAAGGCTAACTATGTGTCCACTAAAAATATTATTCATAAAATAGCGGAGCTGAGATTGGCCTGGGGTTAGGGGAAAGCTCAATAAAACCAATAACCAGTTTGTAGATTAAATGGAAAGAAAAAAGTATACTCCATGAAGTATTAAATTCTACTAGTTGCTTTTATTAAGTCGTAGTTCAACTAGCCTATCCTATTAAAAGACTGGTAATGCACATATTCAATATTTATTTTCTAGGAAAAGTAAATACATTGTAAGTAAAAGTAAAATCACTCAATACTTAAAGATCTGGAGTAGATTTAGTTTAATGGGGGAGTAGATTTAGTTTAATGGGGGCAAACTACTTTAAGTGGAAACAGCCATAATTTGTTTATATCCTGAACACAAGCAATAATTCAAGCTGAAAGAAAAAATTAAACATTGAACTCCAACATTTTAATACGATGGCTGAGAGTTCAGGAAGTTATTAATGAATAACCTTAATTTTCATTTAAATACTAAGATTATAAACTGTGTGGCAAGATCTATCGTCCACACACACACACACACACATATATATTCAGGGAAGGATCTAGAAGTCTGAGAGGAAAATTATTTTTATCAGATAATATAATAAAAAGCATAGGACTAAATTTGCAGAAGTTTTGAATTAGTGAAGGAAAACTAAATTAGACTATTATATATATATTTTAAAATGCATAAAGTATTAGCCATTATGCACTTTTTTGGTGGGGGAGAATCCTATCCTGATTTAATTTGAACTATTCTGAAGACTCATATCATGAAAATCATCAATGGAGTCTAGAGGGTATTGTGAATCTGCAAAACTTCCAACACTGCCTTTAATATTTTCAATCGAAATTCACTTCATTTGTATAGAAAATTTTCATTCACTGAAGGTGAAAAACATAGTTTTAAAATATAACATTTTCAATGTATATAATTCTAAATTCTTGCTTAAATTTAGGATTTCATATTTACATACATTTTATGTACAATATTATATATATAATACATTTAATGATACATGCTCAGCTATTGACCAGTCCAGTTCCTACATCTTTACATTTTCTGCCCATATTTTCACACAGCCTTAACATGCCAGTGTTGATATCCAAAACTGGACTTTGTTTTTTTTTTTTTTTTTTTAAATTTTTTATTTTATTTTTTTAAGATTTATTTATTTATTTATACAAGCACTGGGTACAGTCAGAAGCGCGGGAGGGTGAGAGAATTCACCAGAGCCAGAGCAGGGAACAGAGCAGGCAGAAGGACTGAAGTACACTGCTGAGGGGAGCAGCGGGCGGCAGGAGAGGTCTGCGCACCATGTGGGACACTCCTCCGGTGGCCAGGGAGCAGCCGGGGATCGAACCGGCGCTGCCGAGGCTGCGGGCAGCTTCGCAACCCAGCGCTCAACCGCTGCGCCACCGGGGAGGCCCCAAAACTGGACTTTGTAGAAAATTCTGATTAGAAAAATGATTTTAAAAATCTAAGAATCAGATCCACATATTTTTATAAATGGCAAGTTAGGCATTTTCTCCTACTGTGCTCAGCAACAGGAAGCACTAAACCCAAAAAAGACTATGCTTCAGCATTTTCCAGGATGTGTGATTTTTAACTTGTTTCCACAAATGTTTTTATTATTGGAATTAATGACTCAATTTGAAATCAGAAAGTATTATGAGTAATTAAACAAATCACCTAAAAGAGGAAATCCTTTTAACAATCCTGTAATGTAGTTACACAATAGCAAGGCTGATTTTTAAAAAGTGCACATAAATGCCATTCTTTCCTTTAACATAGGCAACACTTATTAAGCACATACTCTGTGTCTGGTACTGTTAGGAACATTTTATATATTTATTTAGTCTTCAAGAATACCTATAATTTATCAACTGACGTTATTCCAATTGTACAGATGAAGAAACTGAGACAAAGAGAATAAAATAACTCTTGTAAAAGCTACAGTTAATCAGTGGCAGATCCAACATTTGAACACAGGCACTTTGACCTCACACTATTGTGTTCTTAGTCACTAGGTTTTGTTTCTTGTTTTTTGTTTTTTTCTGCCAAACGTTAGTTTGTTTTATTGCATGACGTATGCATTAGAAATCAAAAACTGTCAGGCATCATGCAATCATCAATTAAGATAATTATTAACTGTACCCTTAAGACAGGTGGACATATAATCGAAAATTTAAAAGCTAATTCCAAAGAAGTCCATAAAAAACTTAACATGATGAGCATTTAAAGATGGCTGATTCTTGTAGTTTCAGGTTGTTAAAAAAGTACATCAGGTATAATTCTGGAAAGAAGCTTTTTATAATTGGCAATGGGGGTAATGTCAAATTATAAACTACAAACGAATAATTTCTATGGAATTAGAAAGTTAACATTGTCATATTCAAACTTCTTTAAATTAATTTTCAAGTCTCATTCAAATTAGGTTGATGTAATATTAGTAATATAAATAAACACACCTTTCTGGGCTTTCCTGGTTACACAAGGGTTCTGAAGTCTCAGCACTATGAAACTATCAGCAGCCACTGCAGCATGAGTTCTATCCCCAGGCAGGGAGGTGACCCACATAGTGCAGCAGACCTCTCCTGCCTCGCCCGCTGCTCCCCTCAGCATTGAATTTTAGTAGATCTGCCTGCTCTGCTACCCAGTCTGTCTCTGGGGAACCCTCTCACCCACACACCTCTCTAGCCTATACCCCAGCTCTTGTATGCACAAATAAATAAAACTTTAAAAAAATAAAAATATACCCTTCTAACCAACAAAAATCTACTGAATTTAAGTATGCATGGTGAGTCATCAAATGTCTGAGTGGGCCTGAATATTGAGACCCAAAACTGACGTGTGTTGGTGTGAATGTATTGCACCAGTCTGCCAAGACTTCTCTGTCACTTTGTCTTTTGAGAACAGTACACATGGAAACTTCTACGGGTCAGGATTTTGCTCTTTCAGAGAGAAACTGTTGTCTGACCATATAAGTCAAACATCTCTAGTAGTCGCTCTACTGATGGCCGCAGATCTGTAGATCTTATTCCCAGCAACCAGTATAGCCACTTTAGCAATGGTGAATCTGTCATGAGTGAATCAAGTTCTTTTTTTGATTCTAACAGCCTTTCATGGTCTGTATGAGCCACCAGACAGGCAATGTCACTGATGGCAGGAAGGTGGCTTTTCACACTTTGAGCTTGAGCATGTCCAACCAAGTCAAAAGTTAAGTCATTATGGCAATGGTTAAAGTATAGTGTAACATTGGGACATGTTGTCCAAATCTGTTTTACCAGTTCTCTTAAATAACTCAAAAAACTGCAGCACACTACTGAAACCACTGCAAATCCAGTCAAATATGGACACACCCCAATAACTATGGGGTCTGTGACTAGAGATAACATAATTCCTTACTGGCATCAGTCCTACAACCTTCTGAGATTGATCTGCAAATTATGATGGCTAGGTTCTTAAGATGTGGCATACAAAACACTGAATGATGGGCTAACCAGGAATGAAAGTGAAGAAACACATTTACAGGAGTTTTATCTCCATAAGAAATGTGAAACCTGGACATAAGCCACATTCCTTCGGCTGGAGCATTTCAAAAATGAAACATGTATGCGTACAATTGAAAAGAACTATACAGGAGCATAGGAAAACAACTTTAGGCAAACAAAAGTGAAGCCCAAAAGAATACTTTCTTGGATCAGCAATGAGGAGGAGCCTGTACACATAGGTTAATTTACAAAATATACAGGAGCTTCACCACAGCTCTAACTCCAGGATCTAAGCTGCTGCTATAGAGGAAACTAAATTACAGCTTTCCTTTTCAGTAATCAGTGGTTCTCAACCAGAGGTGGTCCTCCCTTCCTACAGGCCATGTGGATATGTAATTTGGGTGGAGTGGTGGGATATTTCAGTTGTCACAATGACTCCCTAGTTACTATTACTAGAAGCAGTAACAGGGCTATAACAGGGACATTACCAGAGGCAGGAATGTTAAATATCTGAGATACTCCACACAATAAAGAAATTACCTAGCCAATGGCACCCAGATGAGAAACAATTCTGTATTGGATAAAATGCTTATTTATAGGATTCAAATGTATGTTTTTGCTTAGTGAAAGAAAGAAAAAAACTGAATATTGTCATTGGCAAACTTTGAATTAAATAGCATTCCATTCCATCTTAGAAAGCTTCCTACAATATTTGTTTATATTAAAACTTGTTTATAGGGACATATGATACATATTTTAAAGTATTTCTCATACCTCATACTTGATAAGGAAGTTATAGAGGGTCTCAACATCTTGGTATTTACTGTTTGGGGCCAGAATCCTAAAAAACAAAAAAAAAACAAAAAAAAACAAAAAAAAAGGGAAAATAAATGATTTAAAAAAAAAAAAAAACAAAACCTTAAAACTTTCCTCCAAAACATACCCATACTGTGAGTTATAGTATAAAAGCTTATTAAAATGATTACAACCATTTTGGTTTTTACTTATCAATTAAAAATTATCAAACCATGAGCTTTAATTCAACAAAGAACAATTTGTAAAAACATTTTGCTTATTTATGTTTCTTATGTTATCATTCATCAACAATCACAAAAAACCTATGTTAAATTATAGTTCACATTTTCAATTACAGTGATACAGAGTGTTCAAAAGTAAGATAGAAATGTGAAGTGCACTCACATCCTGTACCATTTAAGCTACAGATAAGATTGAAGATTTCCCCCCGAAATGTTCAGTTAGTCCAGACAATGATTAACTAACTACCAGGCACAAGAAATCCTAACAAAAGATTTTGTGACTGAACTCAAATAACACTGTTTGAACTAGCAGCCTGCTTGTTTAATGGCCTAGTTGAAAAAGCATTAGAAAACACTACTGGAAATGACACACATTGGAAATGACACTGATTCATAAATACTGGAAAATAACAAACTACAAAATAACAAAAACAAATGGAAACAAGAAGGAAAGGGGAAGACATATTTCTCTTAGCAGTAAAGTATTCTCATTTTTTTATACTAAGTACTTTTTAATACCTTTGGTATAAAGGATTTTTTTGAAAAAAGAAAAAGGAAAGCAATTCCATCATTATGGTATAATAGTTATGAGCAATGTCTGCCTGGGTCTGTCTAGCTGTGTAAACTTGGGTGTGTCAACTTCTTTTTCTTATCTGCTAAATGAAGATGACATTAATCCTTACAGCACAGGAGTACTTTGAAAATTAAATGAGTTAATATAAGCAAAATCTTTCTGACAGTGCTTGCTATGCAGAAAGCATTGTATGTGTACATATATGCAAATTACAGTGTAACAATAACACTATTATCATCATCTATAGCTCAAGCCACAGAGCTAACTATGAGAAATCAATCCACATCAATTCTTAAATTCCAAGTGCTTTTAGTTACAAAACTAATGTTTGCCAATGTTTGATATTGTTAGACTTTAGTCATTAACATTTAGATATTTAAAGTAGCTGGCTTAATTTATTAGAATTGTGGGAGACCTTTTATAAAAAATAATTTTTCAGGGTATACTTTAATTTCTAAAGGTGTTATACTATCTTGGAAGAGACACATACATTGTATCTTTGAAATACATGAAATTCTGCACAAGAATGCTAATTTCATGGAAAATGTTTTCCCCCGACAAGTAAATTTAAAGTACATTCTGCTAACCACCCCCCTCACCCCGCCAAAAGATGGAGAATAATATACTAAGGAAATAATTTGATTAATAATTTGAGAACTAAAGAAAGCTATCTAAAATAAATTAACCAATTCTTCAGAAAGGCAATGAATAAAAAATATTCTAACTGTGACCTAGTGCAAACAAGCTATCAGCAATGTGGAATAATTTACACCTATTCCTTTGAATAGCTTCTGAAATAATTCAAACTGTTCATATAAGAGGGTAAGAAAATTAGATGAAACAAGATGTTACAAGAAACAAGATGAAACAAGATATTACAGTCTTATAAACTTCTTATAAACTTCTTATAAACTTCAACTTGATAATCACCAAAGAGTGACTTTCACTGGAGAATAAAATTAACATTTTCTGTTCTGAAATACTTGGCAAAAAAATTGGTTTTAGCTAAACCAGTCACCTATAGCAACAAGTCATATCTAAAGTAATAAAGAAAGAAGTGATTAACATCTTCCAAGGTTTCCAATGGGGGGGCAGGGGAGGGAAGCACTGAAAATTTAAGACTTCCAACCTGGTTTTACTGAGGTACTGTTAATTAATCCAGTAGATGAGGCAAATTAGTGGGTAGTAGTTGTATGTTCTTAGTAAGATGTATACTAAAGACATGCAGATCAGAACAAGAGATTTTTTTATCTCTCATTCGAGGAATATTTGAGATGTACTATAGGTCAAGCACTATTCCAGACCCTTGGATACATCAGCAGGCAAAAAGACAAAGATCCACTGCAGACCAAAGCATCACAGTTCCAAAGAGCAAATGAATGACAAAAATCTTGACCAAGCACAGGAAATAATGAAGAAAAATGAGTCCATTTGATAGTCTCTTCTTACCACTTTTCTTTTTTTTTTTTTTAAGAGGCATGTATTTTATTCATTCATTTATTTGTTTGTTTGTTTATACAAGCACTGGGTACAGTCAGAAGCACGGGAGGGTGAGAGAATTCACCAGAGCCAGAGCGGGGAGCAGAAGGACCGAAGTACACTGCTGAGGGGAGCAGCGGGCGGCAGGAGAGGTCTGCGGGCCATGTGGGACCCTCCTCTGGTGGCCGGGGAGCAGCCGGGGATCAAACCAGCGCCGCAGAGGCCGCGGGCAGCTTTAGCAACCCAGCGCTCAACCGCTGCACCACCAGGGAGGCCCTCTTCTTACCACTTTTCAATTGCTACTTGTAAACAAACATGTTTACCAGTCCTTCCTGTGATGAAGCACAGGAACTTTAAGTTTCTAGGGAAAGTCATTTGCTCCAAATATGATACTTGATTGACTGGCACAAATATCACAGAATTATGATCTAATGAGAAAGATTTATCAGCATCTCGGCATCATTCACAGATCAACTACTGCTATAACCAGAATAGAAAAGTTATTTTTTTAAAGAGCAAGATACATACATCATGGGATGTCATAAAATGTTATTTTTAATTAATGTTTTTTAGGAAAACTGAGCTCCAAATACACTAGACAGTGTTAAAATACGCTGGATTTAGAGTTGAATTTAGATTCTACTATTTTCTAATAACCCTGAGTTTGTAAGAATGGAATTTGGCCTGGTATAGGAAAAAAAAAACTGCAAACTTTTACTAACTGGAAGTACAGCTTGTTGAAAATAATACACAAAAAATAAAATGCAGAAAAATGATTTATGGACTTTCATGCCTTAGTAATTGCTCCCACAAAAAATTCTTGAGAGGTCAGCCTTCTCCATAGCTTTCTCTCTTTTTTTCTTCCACCAGTATGAAGACAAAAGACTCTTAGAATGAAAGTACTAAAATTACCCTTCAATGGGAACTTTTTAAAAGAATAGAATAAAAGAATTAGCCTTTACAGGAAATAAAATACTTTTCAGAAAATGGCCATTCTTTACTATAAATCTATCTACATCTGTGCTTCCAAGAGAACTTCATAACGCTAAGTATTTATTAAATGCACACTATTTGCTCAGAGGTATATTATGCTAACAAATATGGAATATAAAAGAAAATTATAAGATACGTTTGCCTATATTCAAATGATCTCATGATCCTGAATTTTCACTCTAGAATTGTAGAATCAAATTGGGGAATAGAAGTCTGAAATAGAAGTTAATCTGTTGCTTAGGTTAGTTATAAAACCAAGTCTAATCTGAATGCACTTTTCTTTCTTTCCTTGCACATCAATGATACATGATGTCTTATTGAACACTTAAAGTCTGACATTGCTTTATAAATATAATCTCCAATCTTTTTCAACATTCTTAAGTTATGTGACCTTGAACAAGGTCCTTACTTTTCTGTATCCCCAAGTTCCTTAACTGTGAAATGAGATTAACCTTACCATCTAATGTTATTATATGAAGCAAATAAAATAATGTATTTAACATGTCTAATATAACACATCGCTCAAAGTCAATAAATATGAGCTATTGTAATCACCAGTTTTCAGATGTAGAAACCAAGGGTCCAGTTCTAAAAACCTGCCAAAGATTACAGAGTGGTGGTAGATGTTTCATCTCTTGCTACTGACCCCAGAGTCCATGCTTTTTCCAGTAATAAAAATAACCACCACCATCTTCATGCCATTATATATGAAATCAAATCAAATAAAGTTCTTTTAAAATAGTTCACAGAATTTTATATGTAAGGAAAAAAACTCTCCTTAATTTGCCTTTTATCAAATGCTTCTGGAGCAACCTATTTTCTGTATGTCTGAAAACAAAATCTTTGTACTTGTATCTTTCTCAAAGTGACAAAGGAAATCAGTAACAGAATACAGAATACAGTTTACTACTGTAATAAAACCTTTTGTTTCCTACTTACTTGAAGTCCTGACTAAATCACATAAGCACTTCAGTTTTTTATTAGGAGCAATTAGAATTAACCTAAGCAATATGTTAATCTGAATTAAACTTCATCTAATTCAATATTAGAAATATTAATGCATCTCTTTAGGGAAAAAACCATGCCACTCAAATTTTTAAAAAGGAGGCACAACTTAATAAAATAATGACTAAAATATAAAAATCTAATGATGCATTAAAATTGACTAATTTTTAAGCTATGACTATAAAAATTTAAATGAAACTTTTCCTCTATTTAGAAAAAAAAAAGCAACAGACACAGGAAAAAAGAAAATAGCCTAGAATATTCAAATTTATTATCTAATTCTAGAAATTCAATGAAGAGAGAGCATGTTCTTCAATATTTATAAATCATAATTTACATCCCACAAAACTGAATAACTTATGTTCTCTGCTGGCAAAATGACAAACTTTTATATTAATACAACATTTAAAAGTCTTTGGGAATATGAAATTAAGCAAAGTTTAAATGTAATCACATAGCTTATTCATTGAGCAAAAAGTCTTCAGATTCTTCCATGTCTCAGAATTTCCCTCTTTTTAAAGGCTGGGAAATATTCCACTCTGTGTATATACTATATTTTGCTTATCCATGTATTGATGGACACTGGATCGCTTCCACACTTTACCTATTGTGAATAATACCATGAACATATGTATGTAAGTATCTCTGAGAAACTGTTTTCAATTCTTTTGTATATAAACTTAAGAGTAGTTCAAATCATAGAGACATAAAACAGCTGCCTGGGACTAGGAACAGGGAAAATGGGAAGTTACT